ATGGCTAAAATCAAAAATTCCAATGACAGTTTATACTGGAAGAGGATGTGGAGGAAGGGGAACACTCCTCCACTGCTGGTGGGAGTGCCAACTCATACAGTCACTTTGGAAATCAGTATGGAGATTCCTCAGCAAAATGGGAATCAGTCTACCACAAGACCCAGAAATTCCACTCTTAGGCATACACCCAAAAGATGCACATTCATATAACAAGGACGTCTGTTCCACTATGTTCATAGCAGCATTATTTGTAATAGCCAGAACCTGGAAGCAACCTAGATGCCTCTCAACTGAAGAGTGGATAGAGAAAATGTGGTACATTTACACAATGGAGTACTATTCAGCGGAAAAAAAAAACAATGGAATCTTGAAATTTGCAGGCAAATGGACGGCACTAGAAGAAACTATCCTGAGTGAGGTATCCCAGTCACAAAAAGACAAACATGGTATGTACTCACTCATATATGGATTTTATACATGAATCAGGAGAGTGCCAGCATACAATCCCACTGCCAGAGTCTGGGAAATAGAACTTTCATCCAGGGACTGATGGGAGCAGAGGCAGACCCCCACAGCTAAACACTGAATTGAACTTCTGGAATCCAGTGACAGAAAGGGAGAACTGATGAGTAAAGGAGTTAAGATTGGGCTAGTTTAAGCCACAGAAACACTTGACCTAAACAAGGGGGAGCTCTTAGATCCCAGATTGATGGCTGGGTGGACACCATGGGACTGACCCAGACCCCCTGAATGTGGGTGTCAGTGAGGAGGCCAAGGAAATCTATGGGGCCTTGGGTAGTGTTTATCCCTGGTGTACAAATAGACTTTGAGTGCCCATCCCACAAAGAGGGATGCTCGCTCACCCTGGACTCTTGTGGGAGGGCCTAGGCCCTACCCTGGAAATCCACCATGGAGGGCCTCATCCTCCCTGGGGATTGGAGTAGAGATTGGGTAGGGTACTGTGGGGCCTGGTGGGGAAGGCGGGGAAGAAGGGGAGGGAGAAGGAGCTGGGATTGACATGTGAAACAAGCTTGTTTTTAACTTAAATATAAAAAAAAGCAAGAGGGGGAAAAAAAGAAAAAAGAAAGCAGGCTGAGCAAGACACGAGGCCTCTATATCAGCTCCTGCCTGCAGGCTTCTGCCCTGCTTGAGTTCCTATCCTGACTTCCTTCAATGATGAATAGTGACATGGAAGTGTAAGCCAGATAAACTCTTGCCTGCCCAAGTTGCTTTGGTCATGCTGTTCCATCACAGAAACAGAAACTCTGAGACAGTGGTTTATCTTGTCTTTTTCCAGTCAGCCTAACTAGCAATATCAATTGTTTTGATCATTTCTAAAAGAACAATTTCTGCTTTCATTGATTTTTCTCCTATTATTTTCTGTTTTATATATTTTCATTACTTCTGTTTCTTCATTATTTTCTTTGCACACAGTGTGTTATTTGCTCTTTCTCTAGTTCTTCAAGATGCTAGCAGAGGTCATTGTCTTTTACTGCTTCTATACCACTTACAAGTATCATTATGCTGTGTTTTCATTTTCAGTTATTTCAAAACTCCTTGTCTGTAGGTTATTTGCAAGTGTGCTGTTTAATATTAGAGAGGTTTGCAAAAATGTTTATGTTACCTATTTCAAATGGACTTTCATTTTATAGTCTTGGTCCTTTTAAATTATTAAAGCCTCTTTTGCAATGCAGTAATATTCTGTATTGGACTGGAGAGATCGCTCAGTGGTTAAAGACACTTGCTGTCAGCCTGATAACCTGAATACACATGGTAGAAGGAGAGGAACATTTTGTCACATGTCTGTTCTGTTCTGTTATGTACACATGTATAATATATATACATACATACATACATACATGCATATGTATATATGATTTTCAGACAGGATTCTCAGACAGGCTGGCTTTGGAGATCCGCCTGCCTCTGCCTTCCTCGTGCATGCATCACTACTACCTGGTACATAAGTATATTTTTAAAAATCTGTCTTTATAAATTTTGGTGAGAAACAGAAAAGAGTGCATAGCAGTTGTTTTTAGGTAAAGTGATCTATAAATGTCAGTTTCATCAAGTTGACTGAACTTGTCATATCTTTCACGTCCTTAGTGATCTACTTGAACTGTCAGTTCATGAGAAGATATTTACTCTCTCTTCGCTAGAATTGTAGATTGTCTATTTCTCCTAATTTAAGTATTTATTTCATGTATTTTTTCAGCTTTGTGATCAATACATAGAAGTTTAGGAGTGTTGGCTTCTCTTAATAAATCAGTCTCCTTTTTCATTGTAAGATGATCTTTATCGGGGCTGGAGAGATGGCTCAGAGGTTAAGAGCACTGACTGTTTTTCCAGAGGTCCTGAGTTCAATTCCCAGCAACCACATGATGGCTCACAACCATCTACAATTCAATCTGGTGCCCACTTCTGGCGTATAGGCAGAACACTGTATACGTAATAAATAGTATCTCTGGAAATGTCCTTTGTTCTGCGATCTGCTTTGTGACCTCAGCTCTCCTCTGTTTAGTGATAGCATATATATCTTTTAAATGTCTTTATTTTAAACACAATAATCTCTTCCTTTTCAGTGAGGTGTTTAAACCATTTACTTTTATTATGATTGTTATTAACTCTGTCATTTTTGCTGCTTATTTTCTGTTTGATCCAAATGTTCTTTGTTGCCCCTTTCCATTTTTCTCTTACCATAATATTGTGTTTGATAATTATATTTTAGCTCCCTTTTACGTTTTTAGCTGTTACTTTTGTTTTGTAGATTTATTAATTTTAAAGGGTTTATAATATTCATTCCTAATGCACCACAATCTGCCTCCAAGTGATTCTATCCCACCTCACACACAGAGACATCCCCCTAACTCTTTTTTGTTTTGTTTTTGTTTTTCGAGTCAGAGTTTCTCTATGTAACAGTTCTGGCTATCCTGGAACTCACTTTGTAGACCAGGCTGGCCTCGAAGCCACTGAGATCTGCCTCCCAAGTACTGAGATTAAAGGCATATGCCACCACCACCCAGCCATCTCCCTGACTCTTACAATAGATGCTCTCATTTCTTATCCCCCAGACTTTGTGGTATTATTACATTTTAATTTTTTGTGTGCTAAAAATCCCACATTATTACTTTCATTTTAAAATTCTATTATCTTTTAAAGGTATTTAAATAACAAAGGGTTCTCTCCCTTCTCATCCTCCCCCCATTTTTCCCTGTTCTCTTTATGTGGGTCTGGATTCCACTTGCTGTCATCTTCCCCTTTGACTGAGAACTCTCTTACATTCCTTTTAAGAGTCTTCTGAAGATGAATGAACTATTCAGCGTCAGTATGTCTGAAAGTGTATTTTGCTTTCATCTTTAAAAACATTTTGCTGAGCTAGTGTATCTTTCTGGGATGGTAGGGGCTTTATGCTTTTTTAGAACTCAAAGGCCATTGCCCTGTCTTCTTATCTGCATTGTCCAGCCCATCTTGGCTCCTTGGTTTGTCTTCTCTGACTGTGCTTAAGGATTTTTCACTCTCTGCTGATGTTGAGCAGTTTAATGTGACATGCTTTGATGTACTTTCTTCATATTTCTTATGCTTGGAGTTTGCTGAGTGTCTTAGTTCTGTAGTTTGTTGGTTTCACAGAATGTGGAAAGATTTTATTCATGTTTCTTCATATATGTTCTTTTTTCTGTGCTCTATCTCTTTCAAGAATTCTAGTTAACATAGATTTGATTCTTTCATGTACCCCCCCGTGTGTGTGTGTGTGTGTGTGTGTGAGAGAGAGAGAGAGAGAGAGAGAGAGAGAGAGAGAGAGAGAGAGAGAGAGATTCTGAGTTGCTTCTGTCATCATGTCTAGTGATTCACTGGTATTTTCTTCTGCACTTTGAATTTTGTGATTAAGTCCATCATGGATGTGTTTTCTCAGACACTGGTTTTGAATTCTGTGATTAAGTCCACCATGGATGTGTTTCCTCAGACACTGGTTCCTCTCTAGAAGTTTGGTCCAGGGCTTCGTCCCTGTCTTCTATGTGCTTGCTAGATACCTTTCCCTCCAGTCCTCTCAGAAGTCTTAGTCTTGAATTACAAGCATGCTGTGGTGAGTCTTCCTGCTCAGAGATACTCTCTTCATTTTTGTCCCTGTGCCACTCTCTGAGCAACTCTGACTTTAAGAGGGCCATAGCAGCCACATGACATGTATCTTAAAGGCACTGCATAAAGTTTAACTGTGTGTTCAGTTTCCCTGGCAGATATCTCCCCCTCTGCTGCTGTTTTGTTGTTTGTTTTGTTTTTTTGTTTTTCAAGATCGGTTTCTCCATGTAACCCTGGCTGTCCTGACACTCACTCTAGACCAGGCTGACCATGTACTCACAGAGGTCTTCCTGCCTCTGTCTCCCAAATGCTGGGAATAAAGGTGTATGTCACCACCATACAGCCATATATCTTTCTAAAACCTTTCACTCTTCAAAGCAAGCCTGTGGTTGATTACAATGAAGTAATTAAGTATAAGAATGCACCTGTGCTTACTTGCTGAGTTCTAAGTTTCTGTGTACCTGGAGAGCTGTGCTGTGAAACTGAGTGGCCTGGTACACGGCATTCAGTGGCGAGGCTATCTGCTGCTGTTTTTGAGCAGCCCCACTGGTTCCACTTTGTAGAAACTGAGGCAGCTTGCCCATCTGTCCTTTGCTAGGCTTCTAGCTCAGTTGGTCCCCAGGGAGAGCTAAGACATGCTTGGTAGGAAATCCTGTGGATTCAGGGATCTGTCAGATTCTATAGTCTTGCCCCTCACAGACAAATGTATATTTATGTATCAGTTCTTCCTTCTTAGCCCTGTTTTTCCTGGGTCACCAAGAGACAGCCACACACTGGGAAGCTTAGCCTCTCCCTTGTGGCAGTGGTATGCCTTGTCTTGGTATGATGGACTTCCTCAGCTCTGAACTGTGTGCTGTGCTGTTCACTTCCTTCTTCCTGGTGGAAAACAAGGGCTTCATGTCACTTCTGTGTCTGCTGTATTCCAGGCATCAGCAATGCAGAGGCACGGCAGCCAGGGAAGGCACCAAACTTCAGTGTCAACTGGACAGTGGGTGACTCTGCCATAGAGGTCATCAATGCCACAACAGGGAAGGATGAATTAGGCCGCCCATCCCGCCTGTGTAAGCACGCGTTGTACTGTCGCTGGATGCGTGTACACGGCAAGGTACTGAGGCGCCCTCACCGGGTGTCGGCCTACTTCCCCCAGCGTGTCCATCTCCATTCCTTCCATCCCTCCTGGTTTTCATCATCATGCCATCATTGCAACCTCCTAACAGGATCATTTGAAAATTCTTATTTCTTCAGAGTATTGTTAGCTTAGACGTATGGTCCTGGTCCCACGAGCCTGAGAGATGATGCCTCAAAGGCAGCCTCCTCCCTCACCCCTGCAGAGTCTCAGCTGCTATCCTGGCACTGGGGGAGGAGACTGCTGGTGCCACTGCGCTGGGAATCATGAAAAGGAAGGGCAGTCACTGAGCACTGCCATGCTGGCTTCTGTTCCCTTCATCAAGGGTCAGAAACTTCATTTAGCTGCATAGTCCTTTTTCTAAAGTAAAACCTCAGATAATAAGGCAGGATAACATTCGTTCTTGTTTAAGTCAGGGATATGGTATTTTCTTATTATGAAGTCAGCTTAGAGCAATAGTGTGGGGCTCAGACAAACTCTCCTGTCCTCATGGGGAAAGACAAATGCTATTATGGTAACTCAAGGGCTTTGCAGGACACCTCCAGTCTCTGCCATGTGGCAAGGCATGCATCACCCAGATGTTCTTTTTAATAGTTACAGGGGACAGGTGGAACTTGGGCCTGGGCTTTTCCAGAAGCACAGGTCCTGCAGCCATCTGTCTGACCTACAAGCCACTGCTTAGAGATGGGAGTGAGAGTTAGGCTGGCCACTTGTGGGTCCTCTTCCATCTAGGAGAGCGCCTTCTTCTGTTTTTTTTTTTCACAAACCAACACAGTGCTGAGCATCATTTTTAGCATTACCCTAGGTCTCTCTCTCTTTGTTGCTGTTCCAGTAGTTGCTTTACATGTGCATGTATCCTTCTACAGGTTCCCCCCCACCTGCTGCGCACCAAGATCACTAAGCCCACTACATACCACGAGTCCAAGCTGGCAGCGAAGGAGTACCAGGCTGCCAAGGCACGTCTGTTCACTGCCTTCATCAAGGCGGGGCTGGGCGCCTGGGTGGAGAAGCCCACAGAGCAGGACCAGTTCTCTCTCACTCCCTGAGCCAGGCGGGTGCCAAGCACAGAGTGCGAGGCTGCAGTGCCGAGTCGTCCCCCAGAGCCTTGCATCTGAACTGGGACAGGTGTGCACCTTGGAGAGGGCATGGGGAGTCTGGGGGAGCCACTGGACATCAAGCACCATCCCCAGCAGCTCTCACCCCAACAGGGCAGCATGGGGACGTAGGGTGCGGGGCACCTCACATGTGAATGGGGATCAGGTGCACAGTGGGGGTGCATGAGGGGCACAGGGGCCCATCGCCACCCTTGCCACACATTTCCCCTCTTGAGCTACCCAGTGACCGCTTTATATCTCAGTTTACATTAGACGTTGAGTTCTACTGAGTAGGGCTTCCTAAGGATAGGAAAATAGAAATTACATTGTGTGAGATTCTTGAATAAATAATTTATTCAGAGCTAGGAATGAGATTTATAAAATAAGAAGTAATTATGTCAGGTCACTTTTATGCCACATTATTTTAATTGCAAAAGGAAAAAAACGTTGTGTGTGGAAGAGCGCGAGAGATAGAGGTGGGAAGAGAACCCCACACGCCCATCTACGCGTGGCCGCTCCTCTCCATAGGTCCTTCACAGCTAGGTCCTCACAGTAGGTTTTAACAGCTCTCCTGGGGTGACCCAGCATGATACAGTGTGACCCTGGCATACACCAGCCCTGCAGCAGGGATGCTGTGTCCTGCAGAGTCATGACCTAGGACCTGCTGCCTTGCCTGCCTCTAGAAACATCCATGCCCCTGGTTAGGCTCAGATCATGGAGAACTCGACTTGCTTCTAAATAACTGAAGATCAAATGTGTCCATAGCCTGTGTTGGCTGGTCATCATTTGGGGTTTTAACCATGTAGGTCTTGTGGCCTAGAAGAGTAAAATATGGCTGCTATGCACACAGAGCACACAGCCTTCCCTCTGCTCCTTCTTTGGGATCTGGTAGGTTGGAACCACTGACTACTCAGAAAGCTTCACGGGATGGAAAGAGTTATTTAACCAGGTACCATTCTTGGAGCATGCCAGGTAAGGCATATTATTAAGTTATTCCTTCCAGCTTTATCAGACACACGTTTGAAAAATAAAACATTCAGGTTGAAGCTGGTGAGACAGTATGAGGCCAGAATGCTGCAGACCAGACATTGGTGTCACGACAGGCAGGCCTGGGTGCTATCAGCTTCTTGTGGCTGAGCCCCAAGATGCTTCTCAGCACCCTTTAGGCACAGGGTGGCCCCCAGGGCCCTGGAGTGGACCACCTGGACCTCCTGTGCTCAGACTTGCCCCAGGTGCCTTGTTGTTTCCACTCAGGATTAGGGAGGAGGAGGGGGAGGAGGGGGCTGTGGCTGTCAATTCAATGTGCCAGCCTGGTCCAGCAGGTTGCTCCGAAGAGCCTCAGGGCCATGAGCAGAGAAGGTGCGGATTCATCCCACAGCACACATCCACTACAGCTGAATCTAGAGCACTGGCAGCTGTATGGCTCTGCGCTGTTCAACCAGGTGTTTGTGTCCTTGACACGCTGAGGAAAACCAGAACAAAAGCGTAGCCACTGTCAGTTCCACCAGATTCCCAGCAGACCTCAAGAGGCTGTGTGTTGTTGCTTACATGAGATCTACTCGTGTCCCCATCTCGGGAGCCCTGTCTGTGTCTCTCATCCTGTGGGGCTTGACCCTCATGGCATGAAGGTCCTACCAGAACTCCCTAGTGACATGTGTTACCACAGACATCTCCAACTCACCCCCTGCCCTCCTGACAAGGGTGAGCTCTCCCAGTCAGGAACACAGAGCCCTGTGTGCCATGGCAGGGCCTTGATGGGTAAAGTGCACTGGGGTTCCTTAGTTTAGGTCTCATATTGTCATATTATCACCACCTTCCCCACAGGCTCCTGCACTTTCCAAAAGGAAAAACACCATGTCGGTGTGTTCTTACTCTTATTTTAAATTGTATGTTTCCTAGTGGAGATGGGGAGATGGGCTTAGTTGAGTTTTCCTGTTTGTTTTTAAGTACATTTTGGTTATAAAGTATAACAAAAGTATATCCCATATATACTAAAAACCGTGCATTACATCTGGCTTTCCATGTCACATAACAAAGGTGCCCAACCAGGAAGCCAATGTTACAACCTATAGAATGCCTAAAATCACAGGGGCCTGTCCTATGTAGACTGGCCCTAGCCCCTGGAAGGAGGGAGGAAGACAGCCTGGAGGGCACCCTGTGGTGAGGAGGCATCATGGCACATGTGTCACCTTCTCCTGCTCCCAGGATATGGCAGCTCAAACAGCCCTTCTGTGACCAGAGAGAAAGGAAACAGAAATGTTAACTCAAGACACTAAGCTCTTAGAACCCCTTCCTGAAGGTTACCGTGGGTGACACCATGATGGTTGTTCATGTCCAGGACCTAGATATCACACACTCAACAGAAAGCTTGATACACCAAGATGGAAATGTGTTGGACACTTCAGCAGGTATGAAGGTCAGGAGGTTCTCTGTGCTGTGAACTTTGCTAAACCTGAAGTATTAATTTCACAAAGCAGTGTCCCTCAGGACTGTTCAGGCCCAACTCTGACAGTAGCTAGGACACACTAGGAGGTCATTATCACGAAGGAGTCTCAGGTAGGATAACATGTTTGTGTAGAGCTGGGGCTCTCCACTGAGATCTAGGCAGGGTGGGTGTGGTGTCCGTAACATTTACCCTGATCCATTAATCGTATCAGGAGGAAGCACCTCCCCAGTGAGGGATACCAAAGAACTACAACTCTGAATCTGAGTCTTTGACCATTCTTCCTATTTTGATGTGTTTTTTTAAATAATTAAGAATAAGTGTACAAGCCACCATCTCATAAGGCATTGCTCTCTGTTTATTTTATCCCCAGCTCATCTTACCTCCAGGCTGTAGTTGCTGCTTGTTTTTTAAACCTATGTCTCCCCTTTAGTTTCAGACAGGTGCACCAAGGATGGGCAGCCACCAGAGGGTCAGGAATGGGGGGTGAGCTGCCTATCACCCCGTGCTAAGAGTAAATACACACAATGCAGGAGCAGCTAGTCACTTCCAAAATACTTTACTCCAGAAATGTCAGCTCTGTCCAGTCATAACTTTGATCCAGAAAGAGGAAGAAAATGAGCCAAAATTCACATCTGTAAGTTCTCAAAATTAGGGAACCTCTCCAAAGATTCCTTCATATTGTCAGCCCCAGACTACATCATGGGAAGGGCAGAGTGTATGTGTTCAGTGTGTACAGCTTGTATGTGTCCTTGTCTCTTGGCATATCTATCATGTGACAGTCTCCCCAAAGCTGAAGAGGTGGTTACACCCGATCTGCAGCTTTGAACTGCTCCATACTGGGGCTACTGAGTTCATGTGACATTAGGGAATGGGGATTGGGAAGCCTCTGACCTGCCAGGGACCATGAACAAATTAGTCACATAGGTCTGGCCCATCATGACTGGCTCCTCAATGCACTTTTCCAGTTCCTGGGGAAATTTTCCTGTCTCTGTGGTAGTGCCTGTACTTTGTGTTTGGTGTTTGAATGACAAGTGCCCAGCCTCAGAAGCACTAATTGTAGCCACAGCAGGAGCTGATGGTACATAAGGAACTGATGGGCCATTCTTCTGAATGGAACACAGTAGGTTAAAAAGCACAGTTTGTGGAATGTTAATGGAATAAGCCCCTAAAAGCTGTTTGCTTTTCTAGGCTTTGAGTTATATACTTCTCATTTGATTTTAGAATTTGGACACTTTTACATGAATGTAATTCAGCCAAGAAACATGTTGCTAAGATACAATCCTCAGTGTTCTCTGTATGTATATTTCTGTATATATCACATGTTACAGCCTGCATGAGCTTCCTCTCACACTGAGCCCAGCCGGAACTGAGCATGAGATGTTGTCACATGTAGACAAAGGACTGAGATGTTCTCAATAAAGACTAAGACGTTTCACTACGACTTCTCGCGGAGACTTTCCTTTTCACTTTTGTCCTTGCTCCCTTGGCAGGCCTGGAGTCAAAAATCTCCTGATTGTATTGAAAGGTGTGGATAGCCGCCACCTGAGAGCTGTGGGTCTTGAGTATGTCTGGTCATGTTACCTCTGTGCATGTGCTCAGTGCATCTATCCACCTGGAGACTCCCTTGGTTCCTTGCACCTGGTTTCTCTGTCTTCCTGGAGAGCTTTTGGCTCTGCCCAGTGTACAGGGTGCTGTGGAAGGAAGGACATTCATGATTCAGGGAGAGTTGGCCACGAGACTGTAGAAAGCGTGGTCTTGAGGGTGTGTGCATGTATTATGTAAGGGAGTGTAGGAGTGATCCCCACAAAGCTATCCACCCATGAGGGCGGGGACATGTAAACTGACATAGGTATATATAAAAGGAAGTGAAAGAAAAAGGAACCTCCCTTTTCTCCTGGAAGCCAGCCACGCTTCTAACTCCTGGTTTGTGCGACTCTCTCTCTCTCTCTCTGGTAAATAAATATATTGTTTTCCTATCGCATTGACTATCATTAATAAGGGAACACATGGATAAGTCTACAAGGATGGGATGATGGCTATGGAATTTGGAATGGCTTTGATTTGAGTTTCCTGTTGAAAACAACTATTTGGTTAAAATCCTTTTTTTTTTGGTTTTTCGAGACAGGGTTTCTCTGTGGCTTTGGAGGCTGTCCTGGTACTCGCTTGGTAATCCAGGCTGGTCTTGAACTCACAGAGATCCACCTGCCTCTGCCTCCCGAGTGCTGGGATTAAAGGCGTGCACCACCAACGCCCGGCTTGGTTAATATTTCTATAATTAAATATAAAATCATTGTAAAGGTGTTTTAAGAGTCATATGCACCTTGTACCTTTTAAAAGCAGCACAGTTAGAGACATGGCCTGGTTCTCTGCTTTGGAACTGGTGGTAAAACCAATGCAGTGACACATTTGCCTTTGATTCTTTGTCTCAGACTGAAAACAGGGAAGCCAAAAATAGAGGCCAACAACTGTTAACCTGTGTGACCCAGGAAATGCCAGCTGCCTCTACTCCTTTCATGCCCTCCTCTCCAGGGTCAGAGGCAATTTGCTTCTCTGCCTGTGTCTTTTATTTTCTGTGAATGAACTGAATGTGCTTTAACGTATTGCAGACATACGTGCTGATGTGACAGCTACCCAACTTAGCTTTTTAGCAGCCTGTTTGCCACTTCAACAGCGGTTCAACCTGGAAGAATGGATCCTAAGAATGAGGTGGACTAAAGTCTCATGAAATAGCCAGCCCTCTTCAGGCTTCACTTTATATTCTGGGAGTTAAGAATGGTCACATAAGCAAAGTTCTCATGGATTCCAGCTGTGTAGAACCACAAAGACAAACTGCACCTGGCAAAAACATGTTTTTCTCTAGAGGCAAATAAACAAGTAACAGTAGCCAGATGTAATAAATAATCTGAAGTAAACTCATTTCTATCTGCCACACCTGTGAGAAGGAGGTACACACATTCCAAGAACAATTCATGTTTTTGAAGAAATGGTCACAAGACTGTCTTGTTTCTTGGAATTTTCTTACAAGCATTCAGAATTCCCCTCACTTGACTTGGACTGTATCCTGACAGCAGCCTATACCTTTCTTTTTGGTTAACTATGAAGGAGCATTTGATGATGATGCTAACAAATAAGAGAAGGGCTGTGATACAGTTAGTCAAAGCGCTTGCCTCATATGGGAGAGGCCCTGAGTTCCCTATGGAGGGGAGGGAGAGGGGGAGGAAGAGGGAGACAGAGAGAGAGAGAGACAGAGAGAGAGAGAGAGAGAGAGAGAGAGCACATCTGTGCAAGCAAACTAGCATAACCTGAACATTCATCTACATGTTTCATAAGGTTGTTACAAATTGAAACTCATTTTCTTTCCATATAAAATGAGTCAAGTAACTATATTAGGTCCACATGTTTAAAATCCTGACTTCATTGTCTCCAGTCACTTCTCTTCCAGGCTGTCTACTAGAACTCATTTCTCATGGTTTTCTTTTTCAATATCCCTGGAAAATCTTGCTAGTACTTTTGTTTCTATTGGAAAAGTAGGTCAGGTTTTTTTTCTGACAGAAAATAGGTCTGACTTGGTTCACTGGTGTGACAAGAAAGATTAGGTTACATGGAGGACATTTGCCATAAATAGAATGCGCCAACTCTGCAACTGCACAGTTGCAATAAAAGTACATTTAAAATGTAGGTGTAGGGAAAGCATGTTATCAACATTAAATTGGGGGGAGCACTGAAATTTGCATCTCAATGTCCCAGACCCCTCCTGAATATATTAGGTTTAACAAGGTGACAGAGACTCACAGATAAATGGCAGCCCCTTGACAAGTTGTGTCATAAACACCATGACTAAAGATGACAGGATGACAGATTCTTCTTCAAGCCTTCTAATCCTTTGCTTTAAAACACTTGAATGAATAAAAAACCTCGTTGACTTGACAGCTGATGAAGCATTAAAACCATTCTCACAACTTTTAAAAATTTAAACCACTGGATTTGGGGGATATTACTTAGGTATTCAGAATACTGTCAAGATTGTTGCTATGAAGAACATGGTCAACAAGACAAAATGGCTCCCTACAGAACGGGAAAAGATCTTCACCAACCCCACATCTGACGGAGGGCTGATCTCCAAAATATACAAATAACTCAAGAAGCTAGACATCAAATTACCAAATAATCCAATTTTAAAAATGGGGTGCATATTTAGATAGAATTCTCAACAGAACAATCTCAAATGGCAGAAAGGCACTTAATGAAATGCTCAACATCCTTAGTCATCAGGAAAATGCAAATCAAAACCACTCAGATTCCATCTTACATCGATCAGAATGGCTAATATCAAAAACCCCAATGACAGCTTATATTGGAGAGGATATGGAGTAAGGGGAATACTCCTCATTGCTGGTGGGAGTGCAAACTTGTCCAGCTGCTGTGGAAATCAGTATGGTGATTTCTCAGAAAATTAGGGATCAGCCTACCTCAAGACCCTGCAATATCACTCTGTATCCAAAGGAGGCACATTCACACCAGAAGGATATTTGCTCATCTATGTTCACGGTAACATTATTCATAATAGCCAGATCTTGGAAACAACCTAGATGCCAATCAACTGAAGAATGAATAAGAAAGTGTGGTATATGTACACAATGGAGTACTACTCAATGGTAAGAAACAATGACATCCTAAAATTCACAGACAAATGGACAGAACTAGAAAAAAAAACAAAACCATCCTGAGTAAGTTAACCCAAAATCAGAAAGACATATGTAGTATGTACTTATAAGTGGATACCAGGCATAAAGCAAAAGATACCCAGCCTACAATCCACAACCCCAGAGAAGCTAGAACCCTCTTGTAGAAACAGATGGAAGCTGATGCAGAAATTCACAACTAACCAATGGGCCAAGCTCCTGGAGTACAATTGAAGTGATAGAGGAGTGATAATATGAACAAAGGAGTCAAGACCATAATCAGGAAACCCACAGAATCAGCTGACTCAAACTAGTGAGAGATCACTGACTCAGATCTGACAAATAGGGAACCTGCTTAAGACCAAACTAGACTACCTTAATATAGGTGATGGTGGCCAGGCAGTGGTGGCACACGCCTTTAATCCCAGCACTCCGGGAGGCAGAGGCAGGTGGATCTCTGTGAGTTCGAGGCCAGGCTGGACCGACAGCCTCCAAAACAATACAGAGAAACCCTGTCTCGTAAAACCAATGTGTGTGTGTGTGGTGTGGGTGTGGGGGTGTGGGTGTGGGTGTGGTGGTGGTGGTGTGGCTGGGACAATATATGAGGCCACTGGCAATGGGTCCAAGATCTAACTGTAATGCACAAACTGACTTAGTGGAGTCCATTCTATATGAAGAGATACCCTCAGCCTAGACACAGAGATATGGGGGGGTGTAAAGGTGCCTTGGTCCTGCCTCAGCTAGATGATGGGACAGACTTAGTTGACTTCCTAAGGGAGGCCTTACCCTCTCCAAGGAGCATATGGGAAGGGGGAAGGGGGAGCAGGAGGGGAGAAGGAAGGGGGAACTGGGATTGAAATGTAAAAAATAATTTTAAAAAGTAAAAAAATAAAATAAAAAAGATTGTTGCTATGATTTTTTAATTCATTCAGTTTTTTTAACATACCCACAATAACAAAACTAGAATATACTGAGGCTAAGCCATGCTATAATGGAACAGGGACATCTTGATCCTTGGATGTAGGTTGGAAAGCCCTGATCAACCCATCGGAGGTACTGGGTTAATGAGATTAAGTGTTTTTGAAAAACTGATGTGTGAAAATAACATAATTCCAGGATATCATTTACAAAGCCTGTGGCAAGAATAAATTTGTTTTCCTTCATAAGAAATTGTTTTATAGTAGAGAAATCAGTATGATCACATCTTTGAGAAGAAAAAGAACATTATATATTCAGGGAAGAACTTTCTGAAGGGCCAAGAGCTTGTTCTGCCGAGTGGAGGCAGAAGTGAAAGGTGGAGTGAGGTGACATGCCTCCTAAATCAGATCTGAGTAGCCCTCAGTCACTCATGCCTCACAGATGTCTGGAGCTGTTTCCTAAGTAAGGCTGGGACGACTATTGTAGATACTTAGGAGAGAAACGTAAGGGTTCAGGGGTCCCTGCCTGTGAGCCCCTCCTGAGCCTGCCCAGGACCTCCCCATGGGTGCGGGAGATAAGATCTGTAACCAGGTTGTTTGCAGAGTGGTCACCCCACAGGTAGACTTCCAGCGAATCCTACTGCTCTAAAGACCCCGAAGCGTACTCAAACCAGCAGGTCATTGCTGAGTGTCTGCTAAGACCAGAGACCCTCTGCTGTGTGTACATCCTGTCCCTCCAGCTCCATCAACTCCTTAAAGTGCCAGAGACCCTCTGCAGTAACTACATCCTATCCCTCTAACTCTGTCTCCACCAGCTCCTTAAAGTGTGGGACATGAGTTTC